ATCTGAACTTCGTTGTAGCCACAGATAAAACCTCTCCATATTGTCTTTTCAAAACAGATACTTCTTTTCTTAGTATTGTGAAAAGCACACAGAGAAAAGCCTTGGAGTATTGCAAAACATTCTCACCAGAAGCAGCAGATAACAGCAGCAAAGGGTGAACAGAAAGCGTGGATTTGAGGACTCTGTACAAAGTACAAAACCCGTGGATGCAGCATGACACAAAGCAGATTACAGGGGAGTAACTACGAGCACTAAAAGGTAAGAGGCTGCAGGACACTTCCTGCCACAGTCCCTCAATGGGGAAGTTATTGAACAGTATCAGATAAAGGGACATAAATTCAACATGCTAAGATAGCTAAGCATACTTTTGAAAATTTTATGTAAATTGGTTTAAGAGTGTTGATAAAGAGCAACAAAGATCATAGGATCATTTACTGTTCATCGTAAACTTCTAAAAGAGTTCATATAGACATTAAAAACAATATTAATGATTATTTCTATTTCACCTTCCAGTTATTACAAAAACATAATGCTTTTCTAAATCACAATATGAAAACAGTACAGAAAATACCACAAAGCCTCCCTCACCCTTTAGAAGTGCCACTGAAAGCTGGTCTGTATTCAGGTTATTGACATATTTGCCCAAGTAGGTGTTGAGGACCCAGGCTACCAATCCTTCCAACATGACTGTCCTAGAAGAGGAAAATTAATGCTTTTCTGTCATTTTCTGGATTTCTCTTCCATAATTAGTCTCAGTCTGAAAGAAAAAAATAAGAAAATCATTGTCTGAAATATACACTCTCAGCAGAACTGACATCACTGTCACTTCAATTCTTACTGTGATCTATCTAAAGAGAAGTAAAAGCACTAAGGTTTATTTCTACCACAAAAAAATCTTCATCCTATGCCCTGTAAGTGTCAAATCAGCTTCACAGAGAGCTCTGTTGATCACACACCACTCCCATTTGCATGTGAAGTTCATCTTTACATGCTTTTTCTAACCAAAACATTACATTTTGTTGCAATAATCAACAAGGCAAATCTACAGCCTCCGCCAGAAAAGGAAAGGACAAAATTGTTGCTGTTGATCTGAAGTCTGTGCTGGCCTCCTTGACCTCTGCTGCCAGTATTTTTACCATGCTGGGTTTGGCAGCCTGGTCTGAATTAACATCCTGAAGCCTCCTGTATTTTTGTAGAATTCTTACACGACATCTGTGAAGCAACTCACCCTACTCAAACCCCTTTTTGGGAGAGCGTGTGTGTGGGAAGTAATCAGATACAAGCCCCAAAAATAGCTCATCAACAGTTACTGCAACAGGTCTTGAAAGTGGCAGCAGAGATTACTGCACTGAAGAGAGAAAAAGCTACATTAGAGAAGCACCACTGGTCACACTCCTGAACATTTCCCTTCACTCTTCTCCAGTCACTTCTGCTTCAACTTCTGTGGTAATCAGGGCATTAAAATCCCCAAGTCCCTGTTCAACCTTTCAACCACTGAATTGCAAAACTACTCATAATTCCTGCAAGGGCAGGGTGAAGCCTGGTACAGTAAGGAAAAAAGCTTGTAGGCCATTTCTTGAGACTAGAATGGAATAGATCTATCAATTTTATGTTTAAAAAATTCTCCCAATCCCAAATACCTGCCTAAACCACTGAATTCTGCAAAGCAGAAAAGCAAGATGCATTCTTTATTTACAGCTGACAATAGAAGGAAACAGCAGCTTCAAGAGTCATGTTTTAAATTTCACATTAAGATTTAGAGTTTTCTCGTTATGAGGTTTGCTCGACCTCAGGCAGCACCATTTAAACTTTCACTTATTTTTAAGAAGGCAGTGAAAATATTTAAGTAATAGTTAAATTAAATAATCAGAATTAAGCAAGCAATGAAAGACTTTTTCTAAAGGCTGAAAGTGAAATTGTGCTGTCCTGAAAAATGAAATAGAAAACAGCAGAGGCAAGTTCAATTCCACTCAGTCACATGGCTTCACATAAAATGTGTTTTAACAGTGCCTTTGTAAAATTTCTCAACGATTTTGAAAAACAATACTATTATTCCACATAATAAAGACTAAGCATTCATGCTCTTGGGCCACCAGCTTATATTACAGGTTTTTATTCTAATAAAAGTGACAAGAAACTCATGATCAAACAAAAGCATATACAGTCATCTTTGTTGCACTGTCGTTAAAAAAAAAGTCAGCAAGAAAAGGAATCTACAGGTGTTTGGAACCAAAGAAAGGACCTTTAAGAAACACTTAAGCACAGCAGAGATTAGCATCCCAGTGACTGAAACCCTCTGGTGTGTACGAGCCATGCCTGAAGTCACCTAAGAACTGTAAATGAAGTACATCACATCCTTAACCTAAACTCGTGGGACAAAGCTAACCATACAAGAATCTTTCAAACGTTTTAAGGCTTTTGTATTTTTAACTCTGTAGAGCACTGCTGTGTCCTGGGAAGAAAAGCAAGGCATTTTTTTTTTGGATGACAGTGTTTTAATTTCCTTAACACACGTAGTACAAGAACTGTCAGGGTGAGAACCGAAGCCCAAACCAGGCCCTGTCTCAAAGTGAAAGAAGGATGCGATTTTCCGCAGGGGGAGGCGGAGCAGGCCCAGTGCTGGAGGGGCGGGGGGCTCTTCCAGCGCCCCGTTACCCAAAACCGGGCTGGAAGGAGCTCCGGGGCAGCGCCGGGGACGCGGGGCACCGGCAGCAGAGACCTGTGGGCTCGCACCGCGTGCCGGGGAGGAAGCGAAAGGTCACCTTGCCCGGCGGAGCGGGAGGGACCCCGCGGGAGCCCCGGGGAGCGTGAGGCGGCGAATGGCCGGCGCCGGGCGGGGAGGCCCTGAGGGACCCCGCAGGCCCCACGGCGAGGCTCGGAGCCCCGCGCCCGGCGCAGCGCTGCCCTCGGCGCCCCGCGGGGGGCGCAGGGACCGGGACGCAGCGCGGCCGCCCCTCGCCCACCCACCCCGGGGCGGGGCGGGGCGCCGCGAGGGGCGTGCGGCAGGGAGGGGCCCCTCAGGCCGGAGCCGCGGAGCGGGAGCGGCGGCTGACGCAGGGGGGAAAGGCAGCGGGGCCGGGGGTGCCCCGAGTCCCCCCCTGTGTCCCCTCGGGGCCACCTCGGGAGCCCCCCGGGACCCCCGGACTCACCTGCGCTGCGAGCGGAGAGCGGCGGGCGCGCGCCGGGCGGTCGCGGGGGCGCGCCCGAGTGCGGGAGCGCCGAGTGATCGATGGGGCGGCGGCACCGCCCCCTGAGGGCGGGGCTCGGTAACGCCCCTGGGGCGGGCCCGCACCGCGCCGCCCTCACGGAATGGGCGGCTTTGGGGCCGGAACACACCGCCCTCACGGGAACGGACTCAAACCGGGCGGCTTTGGGGCCGGAACACACCCCCCCCCGGGGAAGGGG